TACTTACTGATTCGTTAACTATTATTTTTTAAATTAAAAAAAAATTTTCAAGTTAGATTTCTTGTTATAAGTATATAAAAAATTGAAACAATAAGCCAACTTCGTAGGCATGATGTTTTTTGAGTTTGCTTTATACCTTGTCTTAAGTTTGATTATGAAAAAATACTTACTTTTGTGATTCGCTAAACTTGACCCCAAATGCAATTTCCTTTTTGGAAACCCTTGAAAAATAGGATTGAAAAAGTCCTACTGTTGCAATTTACTATGAAAATCGATTTTTTTATATGAGTGTCGATCACTCAAATCTTATATTAAAAAATTTACCTCGTGATCTGCGTGACAAATCGTGTGACTGATATGATATCCAATCAGCCCGTATGTAAATTTATATACTCTTAGGGTGCATTTATATATCTTAGAGTACATTCATATTGATTATTATCAGTGTTTATTTTTCACAGTGCGCGCACATGCGCACACTGTGAAAAATAAACACTGATTATTATTAAATAATCGATTAAATAATTGATCGGCTATAAGCCGCTTTAGCCGATCGGCTAACCGGCTAAGAGTCGATAACCGATCGTAGTCGACCGAACACATCCCTACTCAGAAGCATTATATATACTAAGAGCTAAAGAACCTCCACAAATTTGTGAACTATTACCTGCACAACTAATACTACAATCTAATTTACCTAGATTGGTATAACTATTAAAATCATGATCGCAAAAACACTGTGAGCCTATTTCCAATCCTACGATCTCAAAATTTTTTTGTTTACAGTAACCTATGCACATTTCAACTGTCATACCAGAACGTTCTATTGAATATCCATTTAAACTTCTTTGATTACAATAGGGACTATCTTTGATATATCCTATGTATCTAGAGTCATTTTTAAGATTATTTATTATTTTAATATTATCATTGATAGTTATATTAGGTATAATATGACTTGATAATCCAACACCTACTTCATAAATCGCATATGTATTTTCACCACCACGCATGTAACTTGAATTACCAACACAAGTCATATTACAATATGTTGTGCTTGTTAGAATGTACCCATCAAGACCATTCTCATTTCCACATCGACATTCTTTTCCTCTCCGACGAGCAGCATATTTAAAAAGGTAGTCCGCACAATATATTATACACAAAGCTGGATCCATTAAATTTTGGTCACGATCCTTGTAAGGATCAGCAAAGTCTAAATTACTAAGACCATTTAAAGTATCCTTATTGAGGGCATTATTAAAAATATAACAACCTAGAGGATCACTTGTTGGATGATTTCTTCGAGTCAGATTTCCAACACATTCCCCAAAGTTGTAGAAAAATATTTCTTTAGAAGTCTCAGAATAAGCTGTAACTTCAATAAAATTGATTTTAGGTAGACAATTAATAATATTAAAAGGGAAAGAAAGATAGGTAAATCCATTAACCGTTGTAACGATCAAAAATATTAGGCTTAATGAATATGATCGAATGTAAGGATCGGATGCATAATTGTTTAGAGATCGCATATAAATATATTAGGTAATAGCAGTAGTATTAGTAGATGCAGTAGATCTGGTAGATTTAGTAAACGTAGCAGATAGGGTAGATTTAGTAGAATCGACAGATTCATTAGACATAGCAGATATAGTAGACATAGTAGATTCGGTAGAATCAGTATATTCGTTAGAATTAGTTGATATGTAAATACTATATATACCTAGCATTTATTATTATGTAAAAGTATCTCGCATATATCTAATAAAGCATATACTTAATAAAGTATACACTTTGGCTCTGCCAAATCGAACGTCCTCTTTCGAGGTTAATATAAGAGTATCGTTGAACGTTACGCAAACCTTTTGGAGGTTTACCCTAACGAGTAGGGATTTTAAGGCGTACGTTTACCCGCATCACACCGTTTTTTCATAATTATTACCGAAGGAAAGGAGTGTGGGACTGGAAAAAAAAATATAACAAATTTTTTTCAAGTATATTAGTATTAAAAATTTTTCGAAACTTTCAAATATTCTTTATCTTGTAGACCAATCAAGATATTTATATCTGAAAAAAAATAGTAGCTAGATCAAAAAAAGCATTTATTTCGGAGTATGGTACCCGATGTTTCAGAATACTTTCATGTTATGGTGCTAGAAAATTTTGACTTAATCTTCTATTGAGTTATCTGTTAACTTTCGAGGTCAATGATTTACGTACTTGGAAATTTTGTATCTGTTATAACACTCTTTGTACTAGACATAGAGTACTAAAATCCAATAGAACAGAGATCATTTCCTACAATTACATACGGATGTCGTCTGTTAAACCGGACTCAGTTTATCTACAGTGTGTATGGAAAATATTGAAAATTTGTAAATTTAAACCCGGTAATGGGTTTTCCTTGGTGGAACCAATTATTCCTTGGTGGTATTCATTTATCATTAACATTTTCAGTTGATTTTACTATTTAACTCATAGTTAATTAACTCATATTTATGATTACATGTATTTTGTATTACGGTTTTAGTTCTATATGCGACAAATTTGTGTTACAATAACTTTTAATTCATTATCTTTTTCCTAAATGTGGGGAATTGTTACACGGGAAATAAAACGCTTTATATATTATTACTAGTCTCTAACCCGGGCTATGCTCCGGGCTTCAATTTTATTAATTTCTGGTTTAAAAGACCCGATACGGGTCTCCTTGGACCAATTTTTGGTTCAAAAGACCCAATCCGGGTCTCCTTGGATTAATTTTTAGGTCAAAAGACCCGATCCGGTCTCATTGAACCAATCTCTGATTCAAAAGACCCGATCCGGGTCTCCTTGAACCGATTTTTGGTTCAAAAGAACCGATCCGGGTCTCCTTGAACCGATTTTTGGTTCAAAAGACCCGATCCGAGTCTCCTTGAACCGATTTTTGGTTCAAAAGACCCGACTCGGGTCTCCTTGAACCAAAAATTGGTTCGAAAGACCCGATCCGGGTCTCCTTGAACCAAAAATTGGTTCAAAAGACCCGATCCGGGTCTCCTTGAACCAAAAATTGGTTCAAAAGACCCGATCCGGGTCTCCTTGAACCAAAAATTGGTTCAAAAGACCCGATCCGGGTCTCCTTGAACCAAAAATTGGTTCAAAAGACCCGATCCGGGTCTCCTTGAACCAAAAATTGGTTCAAAAGACCCGATCCGGGTCTCCTTGAACCAAAAATTG